TGAAGGGTTATCTTCGATACCAAAGCCAGCACAGTTGACCGGCTGAGAACGCTCTGAGGTGCTGTAGGGCGGAACAGAGGAAACAACCCTGTGAGAGAGTTGTGTCGGGAGAATTTCGCAGATGACGGTCGTGGAGCAAGTTGTAATCCCTTCGCTTAGGCCTTCGCTTCGGCGGTCTGTCAACACCGGATCCATGCGCCGAAGCCGCGTGACGCCGTTCTCATCATTTCCGCTTCCCTTCCCTTATTGTATTGCCTTTCAGTGAAAGCGCTGTCCTCATGGAGCTAAACCCTACATTTCGTTCGCGGTCGGACCGAATCATGATGTACCTAATGTAAGGGCACAGGGCGCCATATTACAAGCCTTACTTAAAGTCGCGGGTCTCTCCAGATTCGACGATTGTCCTTGGTGGTCTATGACTGCTTTCGTCATGGATAAAAAATATGACGAATGTAAAGGTATTAGCACCTGATCCACGCAATTTAAATGCCGCACTCCAAGAACCCAACAGGCATGAATCTTGGTCGAAATGTTGATTGAGGCGAATGCAATACTTATGCTCTTCAAATACACTCCAACTCAGGCATTTATGTGGGTTGGTATTGGGAGGAATGATTAATTTTTAATGATCCTTAACCATTTGCACATAATGGAGGGACAATACGTACAGCCAACATCCAGAGGATGCCACATTTTACGGTAAATTACGAGAGGTAGGGAAAGCGCAAGAGCGTTTTCTTCACTATCTATTTCCTGCTTCTTCGTCCGAATACAAACTTTTCTTCATATCTATCACCTCCGATGGACTTGGTAATCCATACCACCTAGGGATGTTCTTCCACTCCCATTTCTTCCAAATGTCCGTCCCTTCCCTCAAAATCTTCTTGAGATTTGATCGACATGGCTCCTCCAAACCTTGATAGCCATGCGTTGTTGAAAGATAATAAAGGCTGTAGTCTGCCTTCCCTTTAATCTCCTCGTGGCTGGGAATGTGTGAGTTGCCATAACGGTTCGCATTGGGCACTATGTCGCTGGAGACCGATTTAACCTGGCCTTGGCAAGGAGAGCCATGGGGGCAAATAAATCCCAGTCCGCGATAGCAGCCTTGAATGAATTGAGTGTGCTGTTTCGCTCCTCTGCTGAAACGAAGTAACCAATCATGTCTTCCCTCCAGTTCTCTGAAAACTAGCGGCTCTGCCTTTTCAAAATCAGAAGATATGAGGAATAAGGGAGCTTGTAGGAGCCAGTCAACTTGGACTTCTATGAAAAGGGGAAGAAGTGTGCATGTCTGTTCCGAAGTGAGCCAGCCGGGTTTGCCGCTTTCTTTGACCGACACTAAAGCGTCCTCAAAGACACTAGCGGCTCGCCTTTTATTGTATATGTCGTCATATTTATGGCTCAAGCGCAAGACGGAAGCGAGATCAGAGAATCCAGAACTAGAAAATTCAGGGAAGGGCCTACAACAACCATGCCAAGTAAGGATTAATTCCAATGAGTACTAAGAAAAAGCTTACGCAACCTCAAGCAATATCCTTAGGTACTGAGCAAGATCGGCTGGCTCGTCGTCTAGCTTGATGAGCTGATGATTGGTGTTTGTTCCAGTCTGGTTTGTTGGCAGAGGGAGATCGATAAGGTCCTTAAAGAAGCCGGAATGCTTCGCAAGGCTGTTTACCTCGACACAAAAGAGAGTTCTCGCATCACCTCCCCCGCATTCGACAATCAGATTACCACTGGGAAACCACAGTTCGTTGTCTTGTTGAATCCCTGTTGGCATATTATGAGGCGGAGAAGTTACGCCGTCCGCGTGCGATAATTGATTCCCAAAGGGGTGATAGTTGAAGTAAAGTGAAATGCAAAGCTGGTTCTTCCACTCGTCTTTCTAGTTTGTAGGCCGGGATCCCTCAGGATCCCGTGCGGAATATATTTATGTCTGGCTCTCGAGCCCGATAAAACGGAATTCGCACTTGCTTTGAAATTGTTGTTATTGCACAAACAGACCCATGTCCTTCGAATTTGGAGCCATTGTGGTTAACTTCTGAGTCTCCGGCCTTTACTGTGGGCCGAAGAACCTCCCTTATAACTATGGAACTGGCCAAAAAAAAGTCACCCAGAAGCATCTATACATAAATTGCACATCCCAAGAGATAATTAAGCACAAGAGGACTAGGCATGCCAGAAACCCCCATGTAGTAATAAGCAAAAGATGAGGAACACCTTGACTGCCCCTGGATTGACTAACAAAATTTAATCAGGCAATTATAAGCATAGAGTATCATCTAGCACTCACAATTCAAAGTAACGTTCTGAAGCTAAGTAGTTCGCACAAAATGCCACCTCCACCAAAAGGTGCTACATGACGAAACACTCTCCCCTCATTCAATCGACCAGTTCTAAACGTTTTATTAGATCCTTGCTTTCCAAGTGGTACTGATTGCTTATTCAAAAACTGCCGAATGACAACGTCCGTGAGCTCCTGCACTCCTTTGTCTAATTTTGCTGAACAGATGTGGGGAGCAGGGGACCTTAGAATGTGCGACATTGCTGCTAGCTGATTGTCGGACACATGGTGTACGGTGTCTAGACGAGAAGTAACAGCCACGTCAGAACCAAGATATCAAATCATTTCTAATGAATACCTACTTCATTCGGAGATTATCCAATTCGTCTTCCGAGCGACGCAAGTCACCCTTCGTGCCCAGGAGGATGATAGGCGTAGTGGGAGCATACTGATGGATTAATCTCTGCACCTAAATAAGTTGAATAAGATGAATTATGAAGGGGTATAACATAGGAATTGGACGGACAAACCTTCGCCATTGCATACTCACAACTTGCAGGATCCACAAGTGAAACACAAACCACAAGCACATCCGCCTGCTGATACCAGAGCGGTTCTAAGGTCGTATACTGGGTCATACTTATATCAAAGTTGATATTAAAGGGATTCCCATTAAAATGAGAGAGGACACGCCAGGATTCGTGTGAGGGGTCATAAGGTTGAAACTTGAGGAAGAAAACATGAATAGATACGCTTGGAGAGCAAGTAATAAAGATTCATACGAAGGAGTTGTATATAATTCGGTTTAATACGGCTCTCTTTCAGTCAAAAAGATGAGTTTTAGATAGATGGAGGAATGTCCGGGCTGCTGACCTTCCTACTTGGGGCCCACCGACAATCGTACCTTAGAGTGCTAGCATGAAAAGTTGAGCGAAATATCGCGAAGAAAACTTTACATTGAATTTGGGTTATGCTCGGGCTCTTGTGATTCATCCGTGGACATGCAGGACCCTGAAAGTAAAAGACAAAAGGTGTAACCCACATTCCTCCGCATGCTGCTGGCCAAACAATCAGTCCCGGTTTCACCATAGCTTGTTTGTCTCCCGCCACAAGTGTTGAACAGACATAAGACTTCTCGCCTAATGGAGATATAATCCTCGGTCTCTACCGTTCTAAATATTTCACGAACATCACCTGGAATATAATTGTCGACGAAACCATGTGTCCACTTTCAAAAGATGTCCAAGTATATTCTCATTCCAATACTTAGTAGACGATGGGCCCACCCGAATAAAATGAGAGATTTAGTTCGCTACGCAACTACAGAGCCTGTTCTCGACGTATTGTATTGCGAAAGATCATTGGCCATCCTCCAAAATGGGCCTCCATCCGGCCCATATGATCCAGGCTTCGGGAAGATGAAACTTTTCGTTAAGACTTTGACTGGAAAGACTGTCACAGTTTTCGCAGAAGATTCTAATTCTATCAGACAGTTGAAGTTGCAGATTCAAGACTTGGAAGGCATTCCGCCTAAGGAAGAGCACGGGTCGCCCGCGGGTCTCTCTTGGGTGGTGCCGTACCCGCCACCCTTGATACCCCTTCCGTCGCGGGTACGGCTCGATACCTTATCGCTTGGAACCGCGGTACATCCAATGTTACCGCTTTTTTTAGCCCATAGCACTTAAGATTGAGAGAAATATGCACAAATGCGACATCATTTACGCTAGTACGCCGAGGCATGCGTTGTTGTGTATTAGCTGTAAAAAACAGAGCGAAGTGACCCACATGGAACAGGTGTGCCTAATCCTCAGACATCCATAGCTTGCTCGTCAACAATTCAACTCACTTTCGTAGTTTAAGAATGCAAATATAGCCATGATGGAGCCGTAGTGACCAAATGGAGCCCTCGCCAAGATACAAGACTCACGAATAAAGTGGGGACGATTACAGCGAAAGAGGCTACCACCAGAAAACGTGTCGTCAGCATGAGCAGTTGTCTGTCCGTTAACGCCCATTTCACCAGCTCGTACGCTATTTTTCATTCAGATAGTTCTCCCACTAACGTGGATGACCATAGTATACAACACTCACGACTATCCATGGTTCGCTCTATATAATAAATATACTCCCACAGTTCAAGCAGGAGACGCTCTTATCAATATTCAGACGATCGGCCAGATGGTCAATGCTCTGGTTCGTTCATACTCGGACTTGAATCCCACCTCTCCACCTCCTTGTTTAAGGCATTGTGACGATGCATCTACTTGTGCTTGCCGACCTTGCAGGCATCCCATACATCCGGAACGCTTTGGAGATACTGTTATGGCTGGCGGGAAATGCGCAATTTGTCAGCAAATGGTCGTCAAATTCGTTGGGTTCACGAAGCGGATTTCAGCTGTTTCCAATGGCGCTAGCGAGAGCGAAGGGAATTGGTGGCAAGCAGAAATTTTGATTGAAGGGATTCGTGCGGGAAATGGAAGTCGTAATACCACGACGCTGATGTTGGATAAGGATAGAGTCTCAAGGCTTCATGGAGCGCAGGTCCCTCCTGGGCCCCTACATTCAGAGATGGAGTAATAACTGAACGATCCCATTTCGTAAAAACATGATTTTGAGTATTTGTTGCCGACAGCTTTGTTTTGCCACGACAAGTTTGACCATTCTTCGGCCAGCACTGTAAAACCGCACGATTGAGATAAAAAATTACGCCGATGCTGAGATGGGGCCTTGCTGGGAATCGAACCCAGGCCACTTGCAATGATATTAAGCCCAAAGCAAGTATCGTACCTCTAGACTACAAGGCCGAAATCATTCCCAAATGAGATATATATAACTTAACTAGTTTTCAACCAATTGAAATCGTCATAAATAACCTCTTGAATGATTTGAACGAAGGCTGCAACTCGAAAAAGCATGTTAATATATAACCCAGATGCACAAGCTGTGCTTTTCGTTAGTGCAATGTTCGCCTCCCCGCGGCTTAGCGCCGGACTTCAGAACAAATAGATGTGAGCAAAGGTTTTAGTTGGGAGGATAGTGTTTTCGTTAGTTCCAACATTGTGGTTGTATGGAGCCCAGGCGCCCGAACAGGTTTGGTACTGAACTGCAAATCTAGGAGACGGATAGGCTTTCCTTTGCGGAGGAATGCCACAAGTCCAAATTTCGTCCTGAAGCCGGCATTGAACTGTAATTGCACAATTATTATTGTGGCTTCTGTGGAAGGTTCCAGATGAACGGTAATAGGGAGTAGAGAAAATAATGAGCACCATGGAGAGTTGTGTTATCTATTTTGCCGAAGAGCTGATAGTGGAAACCCGCTCCCGTTGTTAGCAAAGGGTACATGAGTCGATTTTTTTGGCGCTTGTCAAGGCCGCTCGGCCACCTGCTTAGCTAGGAAGCTAAGTCGCTTTATAGTAACATTCAATTGGTGGCCCCGAGATTCGGAACTCCGTTTTAGGGAAAGAGGCCCATATTGAGAACGGAAAGTAAATGACAGCGGGACGGTCCGTCGACGACCTCACATGTACTGCGTCAGGGACAATGATAGGTGTTATGCCAATGAACCCCCTCCGAGACCCAGGGAACCGATCTTCGCTCTCGTCTCTTCTTGTACAGTTGCGTAGAATGACATTATAGATGAAAGCCAACAGCCTCAAAGTGTAACTTTCTCCTGTGGCTGAACTTTCGATGAAGTCACCCCTGGGTACGATCGCGTCGTGTGGTCAAGTTCACGTCATTCAGTTGAATGAATGGCAGTCAAAGTTCCAGAAGCGCAGCATAAATGCTAAAGAGCCGAGGTTTCTGTCCTACACAATGCATTGTGATTTCTCCGAACGCTTCTCCCAAAACTAATGCGAGGTTTTATCAGTCTCCTCCAAGCAGCTGGAGATTCGTTCAGGGTTGCACCTCCTTCGACGGTTAATCGAGAATTCATTTCAGATCAGCTATGTGCAATAATCTGATGACGAAGGGCAAGCCCCCACAAGCACAAGCCAACTTCGAGTGCTCGTGGATGAAATGTTTTTCTGAGTCGCACGAATGAAAGTCCAGGTGACTAAATTGCAAACAGTTGAGACGATAGCAACGAATACATGGTGGTAAAGATTTCAACAGTGAATAACCATGAAAAAAGCAAAGGCCATCAATCTTAAAATCCGTAGACTATGTAGGTGGTTTTGGCCGCGAGTTTGAGGATGGCAGGTCGTCGCTGGAGTATTCGACCGTATGTTCAACACTGATTTCGATGTCCTAAGGAAGTCAAATTTATTGGGCGAAGATGACCGGGCGAAGGAAAGTATCGTACAAATTTTGCTGTATTGGGTGTACGTTGAGTCGGTGAAGGAGCAAATTCCACCTAGGGCGGACGGATAAGCATGCCCAGCGACAGAGGGGCCGACTGAACTTACATTGTCATCGGTCACACGTGGTCTGGCAGCAGACGTCACCCAAACTCGCTGCCCCCGGGTCTTACCCAGTTCTCTCCGGCCATTGAGGCTTAGTGAAAGAGGTTCAGTTATGGAGAGTTAGTATTGAGTGATGAACATACGTGATCAAGAGGGAGGTTGCATAAACTGTAGAATAAAATGATGTAAGGATTTGGTTGATATAACAAGGCAGGGTTGAAAAGCTCACGTTTTGCAATGACAAAGTGCAGTCCTAGGAATATGAGCCCATTTTGCTCCCGAAATATCCACTTCGAGGTATGGGTCAGGACTTGATACGGTTGACTTCCCAAAAATAACGAACAAAAAACATTGATATAACTGTTCCAGCTCTGGAAACGCATCATTGCACAAGTACAAAAGCAGATTGACGAGAACATACGAGGTTAAGAACCCAGCTTCAAAGGTGTACATGATCAGACGATTTAAAACGGGAACCATCCTAAATGAAAAGATCCCAGGGTATTCCTCGCCTACGCAATGTCACTCACGATGGTGCATCTTTGCCAGTGGAGTTTAATAAAATGCTCATGCTGACAGAGATGATAATATCCACTGCTGTTGAGAGGGCTAGACCAGTCGTAAACAGCCATTCAGCGTGATGACCAAAAAGGATGAAAGATTCGTAGCGTAGCATTTGTGAAGTGGTGGCTATTGTGCAAGGTTAGGGGAAATGCCTGACGTAGCAGTTGGCACATACCACAAGCTGAAATCACTCGTAATATAGCGAGTCCGAACTATTGGCTGTGAGATATACACTTCAGTAAGGGACTTGAACGACTCACAATTGGTGCAGTTAGAAACCAATTTCGACCGCTTACTGAAAAGAACTCGTGAATACATGCATATGCCAACAGTGTCTATTACCAACGGAGAAAGATGCGGAGGGCGAGGAAGCTAGAAGTTACATAATATCAGCACAAGAATACGGTGCCACTGAAAGTTACGGACCAGTGAACGATGAAGGTGAGAAGGGCCTATTCGATGCGGTAAGTCGGGTGACGTAATGTTGTCAGATGCCTCTTACTGTGACAACAACGCTCAACTGAGGAGATTGGGAGAAGTCAGCGATTTGCACTAGGACACGGGTAGATATCAGCGAGGACATACCGATATTGACCTATCACGGAGAGACGGAACGTTAACTCAATGGTGGAACATCTGGGGCGAGGCACGAACCAGTAGATCGCGTCAATGTCAACAGGCTGGCCAGCGTCCTTGATCAAGTATTCCCACAGGGCAGCCCAGATGAAAGACGTATGAAAGGCGTCGAGGAGACTAGAAATGTCAGAATTTAGTCAACATAGCGAGATGACCGGGAGGGCGCACCTAACGGCCCCAACCTGTGAGTGACTAAGAAAGGGGATTCAAGGACGGAAGGGAAGAGAGCGAACCGAAGATTTGAGGCTCAGAGGATCTTTAGGGAAGAATCGGAAGTACACGATCCCTTGCACCTGGACCATTCCGGAGAGTCTGCAAAAAAGAAAATGAGCAAGAAATATAAAGAGTCGCGTACAATGGGCGCACGCAGTCGCAAACAACCCTCCAAGTAACAAGGCTCCAAATGTTTTGGCAATGTTGACATTGTCTAAAGTAGCCATTTCTTGTCCGAGGCGAGGAGATTTTTGGACTAGGGGGAGAGAAAGATATCTGCTGGATGAGCGGATGATTAAAAGGAGAGTCTCAGACGGTGGCTCGCTAGACCATGTCTTGCGCTGCTGAGCGGACGGTGATGGCAGGAAAGAAAAGCGGAAAGGTCAAAGCTGAGCTAAAACCGAGGGCAATTCTCAGTCCGCATGATAGATCATGAGCGGGTAATCAGAACGAGCCGGAGGATCCCCATCACTAGAATTGTTCCCCGTTGGCCGGGGTCAGGGTCGATCAGGAGCGGGGAACCTATTAGATGCCCGTCGGACAATTTCTTCCACCTATGAGCAAGCTGTTGTCTGCGTAGCTATACATTCACATGAATGAAGGCACATGCCGGAAAAAGAAATATTCAAGAAAGTTACTCGTCGCATCGGCCACGTGGCGGATGAAGAAGACCACGGTATGCCATGAGATCAGCGTCCGACCAAGCCCTGAGACGATTTGGGCGATCCGGCTTCCCAGACCTCCACCCTGGTTAGGCTCATATATTTTTAGGACGAATTAGGTAACTTTCAATGATGAGCGTCAGAAAACCTACTCCTTCGCCTGAAACGATGTTCTGAGATTAGCTTAGCGCGCAAAGTGAACTTCCCTGATAGCTGAAAATACATACAGAATACTATGAGCACTAGTTGTGGAATATGGAAAGGCGAGATGGCCGAGCGGTCTAAGGCGCCAGATTCAGGCGACCAGCTCATTTGGTGAGCAGTTCTTCGGAACTTTCTGGTCTCTTCGGGGGCGTGGGTTCGAATCCCACTCTCGTCATTGTTTTCTCACTTTGCGTGCATATTACATATGTTATTTTTGCACACTAGTCGCCTTCGTGTGGACAGAAAAAAAGAAGTGCAAATAAGATAACAATTCTAACGTTACAGTTCCTGCTGATATGAAGTAGTTCTTTTTCTACAGGATATTCTGAAGGCAGCAGGCTGGCCCCATTAGGCTTTCGTACTCCAAAGTTCAACAACCGTCCCGCCTTCTTTCTGGCAAATCACGGCGCATACTGTATCCTTCATGGCTACCTTCCAAACATTCTCACATCTCCCACAGAACTCCTTCATGAATCGACCACTGTCGGCATCAAAGCGTCGAACCCACCCATCGTTGCCTGCTGTCACAAGAATGTTTCTCTGGCGTCTATAGGAGGACGAGGAGGACGCTGCTATAGGCGTCATAACGGACTCGAATTGGAGAGCTGTGATAGGCGACTGGTGAGGTGCAATTGCCTGAACCGCTTGATAAGATGTGAGCGAATAAACGACGACGGTTCCATCCGTGGCAGCGCAAGCAACAAGCTCACTCGTAGGAGAGATGACAACGTTCATGACAGCAGCTTGAGAGGAAGAAAGACTCTGGAGGCATTGGCTAAGTTCGGGTACCGTTAGCATCACGACTTACGAGCTAGAAGGAATGTCTACTCACCCAGTGAGAGCATCCCAGATACGAGTGGTAGCGTCATAACTACCACTCGCTATATACATCCCATCAAATGATAAGGAATAAATTCTACCAGTGTGACCTTGAAAGACAGATATGCAATCGCCAGAATCAATATTCCAGAGCTGCAATGAAAACCTTTCAGTATCCAACAATCTTTCATTGTAAGAAGCAGAGTAGGACATACCCTACAAGTTGCGTCGTAGCTTCCGCTCACAACCTCTATTTCCACACGCTTCCAAGCATGTCACACCATCCGCATGGCCTGTGAGAACGCGAATGAGTCGTCCTTTGTTAAGATCCCAAACCTGACTGACGTGAGCACCGACGAGTAGGATCATATTTAGGGTAAGAAAAATACTCACTCTCAAAGTTGCAGTCCCGCGAACCACTTACAGCAATAGGACGGTTGTGCAAAGTTTTGATGCATCGGACCTGTCTTAGTAATGTCCTTTCATCGTATGATTGCATTTTCTGTGCGAACAAATAGACATGAGTCATGACCAGAACAATGAGCAAAAAATATACCCAGATGCAATATCCCAAATCGCAACGATTCGATCAGATCCACCCGTGACTGCCAAAGACCCACGTTGGCCCCATCCTTCGGATGCATTACAAGGATCACTCCTCTGACCGAGATATGCACCTCGAGAATCCTCCAAAGAACGAGCATCTCGCTCCTCCTCAGATGATACACCCGACCAAGGTCGTCCTCCTCGACTGACAAGAGCAACTGCCCAGACTCCGTGTTGATGGCCAACGAGAGTCCGCTTTAGCTCTCCCGTAGTGTGTACTGTAGATGCTGACTTCACTGTTTGCGAGACCGAGAACAAGCCAATCTGCGTCGAGAGCGCAAGAAGTAACCAGCTCAGTATTGTTCGTAGTCGAAGAGCTCGATGTTGAATCTGGCCGTGGTTGAGGAGAGCCAACAGTTATCATCGGCATAACATTGGAGTACTGAAGCTGTATATTCAGTCTGAATACGATGACATGTGACGTAGAGAGACACTTACTACGGGGAACGGGGGAATTGGACTGGAATGGGTCGAACTGGTGGACGAACCAGGACTCGGGCGAGGAGTAGGATGAGCGCGAGAGAATATTGTTGATGCTGGGATAGTTCATCTTGCTCAGCTTGTGAGAACAGTGCTACCGATGAGAGAATTTGCTGGCTCCAGGATCAAGGTCTCTATATACTCCGCCAACGAAACATTACAGAAAGAAAAAAACATGCATAGCTGGCTCTCCATGCGCAGTTACTGAATAGAATTGGAAGTAATGGGAAATCAAAACTCGAAAGCAGTAGTTTTTTCCACCTGGGAATGGATCCTATCTCTGGAAAGTACGGCTCGAAGAACAAGATCGGCGTTTGGTGCAACTTGAGTTTTGATGCCATCACAATCATTACCCCCGCAGTCACCAGGATTGTCGGCGCGCCAAGGCGCCGTCCTCGCCAGCAAGTCGTAAATATGAAATACAGTATGCTACTATTAGAGTTACACGTAGCATACAGTTTCTATAGACAGTGGTTCACGCTCGTGAACTTGAGCTGCTCTGCTAAACTATGATGGCACTCCCACCCTTCGAGCTCTAGAAAAATGCATAGGTTCTCCTACGATTAGGACAACTGGTGTAGGAGACTGCGTAACGCAATGCAATTATGTTCACGAAACGAGGGAATCCGACACAAGCGTACACAGGAATTGACATTGTTCCCAACATTTGCTTGTTACACGTTTTACGTCTCAAAGAGACAGGGATTCACATGACAAAGATCCCGTATAGGTCAATTGAAAAGCGCTCTCTGTTCATCAGTTTTTGAGAATGTGTAGGGGGCCTGAATCAGCGTGCAGAGCCGTTTAGGCCCGAGCTCTCGCCTCACCTGAGCACGTGCATAGCCTTTTCCTTTCATCACGATTTGCGATCATTGCTCAAATTATTAAACACTTTGAGTGTAGATAGAGGGAGAATGCTATAGTTCTAATAGATCGACGTTCGAGAGAAAGACTGCGGAGAACGGAAATCCATCAGAGTTGGCTGCAAGTCAGGGACCGAGTTGGGCAAAGCCTCGTCATCAAAGAAATAGGTCTACAGATACACACAACTCAAATCAGCTGCATACCTGTTTGGTCATCCCACACGCGGTTCCCTCAAGTGCAGGTATGAAACTGACAAATTGTTGGAGTGATGAGGGAGAATTGGATTCAACATTCTAAAAGTTGAACTTGTAATATTCTGATTCGTGGTATCTCAGAAACTGAAACCTGTCTCAAACATTAAGTCACGCGAAAGGCGTTTATGAGGGTCCCGCTCATAAGCGGGAGCCTTGTCTGCATGAACGCACTCTCATTCGTTTGATTGGAAATGTCTCACTTCCAATGATAGCGGCCTCTCTTTACCATCATTAACTGCACTATTGGGGAAACTAGTATTAGATTTAGCTTTGTAGCCGCTACCCGAGAATGTACAGGTTCTCTTCTCTTGCGATATTGCTTACTCAAGGACGGACACTTTCTAACTTGGATTTGTGCCCCTAACTCAGCTCAGTAAAAATGAAGATGAAATTGTACAGCCGATTCACCGAAGGGCAAGCTGCTATGAATAACTAGTACGGTCCTGATTAACATCATGAGTGTGGGCCCACAGCCTTTTGATATGAAACCTATTCGTTGTGCTTCTAAATGAAATCAGCCTCCCGCTGGTAGGTTGTGTATCCTGAGGTGTTTGGGTTGAAGAAAAGCAGATACCTGACCCGTTTACTTCCCCTTTTCATGCAGTCTACAATTTAGCGATGTACCAACACTACGCCTGACATAAAAACCTGATCCATCACCCGAGAATTCAATATGCAATAGGTGATTCCTAGAATACTCTAAAATGTACAGTTTTACGACTCGGTAAGTGACACAAGCATCGGGAGGCAAAGTACCGATAACACAAAGTACACAGAAAAAAGGCATTCATTACTCTGGATCAAACTCCAGCTCATCTTCTAATTCTTCAAGTCCATCTAATGCAACCCCGCCCCCGATTTCCTCCGCAGTCTGAATACCAACAGCTGTAGAAGCCTGAAGCTGAGCCGGTTGTTGGCGAACTAAACTCCCCGTTTCAGCTACTCTCCCATACCTCTCTCGGTCTCGTTCTCTCTCCAAACTGTGTCCTCTCCCACCGCCACTACTGTTCCCAGTTCCAGCCGCAGCGCCAATGCTCCCTCTCCTTGACGTAAAGCCAACACCCATTCCAGCATTCGAATTACGTCGACTCACGGACGGGCTGCTTCCTCCTCCGGAAGAAGGAAATCTCGAGTGTGTGAAATAAGAGACGCTAGGGCTTCCAAACGAACTCGATAAACTGGGAGGAGGAACACTTGGGTACGACAACCCAAATCCGACGGTTCCTCGTCCGGGAATAAGAGCAGCAGCATGTGCGGCCAATGAGTTGGTGGACGCCGGAGTTGTCATTGTAGTACTGGGTACAACTGAAGAGGAAAATGGATTTTCGGAGGAAGAGTTTGAGGTGGATGAGGAAGGGGATGTTAAAATGCTTGGATTGGCGCTTTCTACAGAGGAGGAAGGACGGTGAATTTGAGATGGGGGTCGTGGAATGGGTATGACGTTGGTAGGTTGAGTTCGTGCAGGATTGAGGTGCGCGGAGGAAGATGCCTGAGGAGCATGAAGAATAGCTGAGCTCGAGGAAAGTCGTCTTCGACGGTGTGTAGGGAGAGAGAAAGGATCTGTGGGAATCATTCCTACAAGGTTGTCGACCGGCATTCCGAGCTAAAATAATATAAGATAAAAGTGACCTGCGGGCGAGGAAAAAGGTACCTTACCCGATTTCGATGCTCAATGAGTTCTTCCAAATAAATCTCGTTTAGACGTGAGATCCGAATGTAATCTCGTTCCATGTCGACCAGTCGTCCTCGAAGACTTTCATTTTCTCTTTTCAAAGAATCCATGATCATGTCCATATTGGGCTCTTGGACGAAGTTGGATATTGGTGAAAGAGGAGTGTTGTGCCCAGACGAGTGTAGAGAATACTGGGTAGGGTTGGACTGCGCCATACGAAGAGCAGTCAATTCTCGAGAGAGTTTATTGACGTGAGATTCCGATTCTGCTTCGAGAGTGTTTTCGAGATCGATTTTTTCTTCGCGTAACTAGGTGAAACAAGTGTTAGCGGTCAAGTGAGGAACAGAAAGATCGAGAGGGCGTCAACAGACACGGACTATTCAGCCCAAAAATTATGAAAAGCACGGGACACCGTACGAGAATTCGATAAGAACCTCATGTATTGTCCACACAAAGTCAGCGAAGAGTGCAGCATAGCGA